CCATTTTTTAATTGCAAGTTGTATCTATCCACATACTCCTCCACTTTGATTTTAAAATATGCTTAACAAATTGTAAAACCTTATTTCCCTTGAGCTGCTCTCTCATCTTAAAGTCCCATTCATTTCTCCTCCTCTCCACAAGACTTTTTTTTAATTAAAGTATCATTGATATACACTCTTATGAAAGTTTCACAAGAAAAACAATGTGGTTACTACATTCACCCATATTATTGAGTCCCACACACACACCCCATTGCAGTCATTGTCCATCAGCATAATAAGATGCCACAGTCACTACTTGTCTTCTCTGTGCTACACTGTCTTCCCCATGACCTCCCCCACACCGTGTGTACTAATCATAATACCCTTCAATCCCCTTCTCCTTCCCTCTCCACCAGCCCTCTCCCACCCCTCCCCTTTAGTAACCGCTAGTCCCTTCTTAGAGTCTCTGAGTCTGCTGCTGTTTTGTTCCTTCAGTTTTGCTTCGTTGTTATACTCCACAAATGAGGGAAATCATTAGGTATTTGTCTTTCTCTGCCTGACTTATTTCACTGAGCATAATACCCTCTAGCTCCATCTATGTTGTTGCAAATGGTAGGATTTGATTCTTATGGCTGAATAGTATTCCATTGTATATATGTACCGCATCTTTATCCGTTCATCTACTGATGGACACATAGGTTGCTTCCATGTCTTGGCTATTGTATATAGTGCTGCAATAAACATAGGGATGCATATGTCTTTTTGAATATGAGAACTTGTTTTCTTCGGGTAGATTCCTAGGAGTGGAATTCCTGGGTCAAAGGGTATTTCTATCTTTACTTTTTGAGAAACCTCCATATTGCTTTCCACAATGGTTGAACTAATTTACATTCCCACCAGCAGTGTAGGAGGGTTCCCCTTTCTCTGCATCCTCACCAGCATTTGTGTTCTAGTCTTTTCACAAGACTTAATTGAAAACTTTATGTGTTCTGTCCCCACTTTCACATCTCCCCTTCATTGTCCCGTCCATTGTGGCAGGACTTCCACCCCTTCCACTTTATTTGACTACCAGGCTACCAGTGACATTCCAATGAGCAAAGACAGAAGCTGCTATTTCTCAGCCTACTCATTTGATAGTGATTTTTTCACTCCCATGGAATGCTCTTCTCACTTGCTTCTGTGCCTTCTTGGTTTCTTTTGTCATGTCCTTGCTCCGTCTTCTTCCAGGTCTCTGGCATTTATGTCTTTTCCTCACCTGCCCCTAAATTTAGGTTGTTCTCCAAAGCCCTCTTGTTTCTTATATATATATGCAGTTCCAGAATTCTCTTCCTTAATGATTTCAACCAAATGCTGAAGTTTCATGTCTCACCTATGGTTAAATGATATCCAGCTTAGACTCCTTGGTTACAGATTCAAATTTCCGATTGCCCATTTAGCACCTCCACATGAATGTTCCTGGGGAACCTCAAACTCCATATGACAGAAGACAGATCCCATTCCCCCAACCCACTTCTCCAGTGTTCCCTCCCCGGCTGAAAAGCTTCAGTCATTTTCACTCCTCCCTCTTTGTCACCCCTTTCCCTCAAACTGGTCAGCAGGCTCCTTTGAATTTACTTGGCAGTGTCTCCTGTGTATGACCTTTCCTTTACATTTCTACTGCTCTAGATGAATTTGTCCTCACTCCTCATGGGGACAGCATCATTCTGCTATTCTTGCCTTCAACTTCTGCTCCCCAAGCTCATCCTCCATGCTGCTTGTCAGAATAGTTATCCTAAATACTTCTGATCCTATCAGTCTCCTATCCAGCGTCATCTTCTCTACCGATAGAATAAAGGTGAAGTGTGCAATTTAATGTGGCGTTTCAACCTTCCAGATTGGGTCCAGCCTCCCTGCCTTCCATTATCTAGTCCAATGGATCTCAACCCTGGCTATGCTTTAGGACTACCTGGAAAGAAATTTGGCGGTGGTGGGGCAGGGGGTGGGAGCAAGGTGATACTTGGATATCAGTATTTTTAAAAGATTCCCCTAGGGTTCTAATGTGCAGCCAGGGTTGAGAAATCCTGGTTTAGACATACCTGACTACTTGCACTTTCTTACATCAGTGGTGCTATGTTACCCCAAGCTCCACATACTGGAGGTGGTAGAGCATAGCATTTATGGGAGTGGGTTCTGCATTCAGCATGCCTGCCTGGAACAAAATCCTAGCTCCACCACTTACTGGTTGTGACTATGTAATGTTGGATATTATGCTGTTTCCTCCAAGAATGCTTTCCCAATCTTCACAGTCGGAATGAATCTCTCAATATTTTCTGTCCTTATGATAGCATAGGTCTGGCTCACAATAAGGATGAGCTCCAATGGGTGTTCATAGAACTGAATTAGCATGTTGTGCACTGTAGTGTCATTGTTTGCATGCATATTTGTCCCTTCCATGAAACAAATCTTTGAGGACAAAGATTATATATTATTCACCTTTGTATTTTCTACAGTGTCCAATATAGACACTCAATAGGTTTTTAACTCTATAGAGAAACTAGTTTTTAAAAATAAATTTTAGAGAAAGAAGTATCAGCTATGTACTCTGTTTAGCATTATATTCAAATATTGCCAAGCATAACATCCAATCCAGCTTCCCACCTCACCCCATCCCAGCACCAGCCCTAAAGTTATATGATCCCTCACTTTGTCGCGGGGAATTAGTGGAATGATGAATCTCCATTGCAAATCCATCTCACCTTGCCAAGCCAGCCACCCTGCAATATTTCCATTTGGAGTCTTATGTTATAAGGGGATGTAATGTATACAAGCAATCCAGGGAGGAACAGTAAACACCACAGTTTTCCTTCATAGACATTCTTAATCATACAAGTAGCTGAATTGAAATGCCTGCAAGGAACCCTACTTTTAATAATCGTCACCCACAACTCCCCTTCACGATTCCCTTTTCCAAAATGAAATTCATGCAGTTTGGTCTTTGGCTTAGACTGATAATTCAACTGTGATTCTGGAGCTGTGGGTTATTTTTTTTTTTCTGCTTATGATTAATGGGTGGATGGATTGAGGTAACCGTTATTTGGAGTCTTCTTAATAAGGTAAACTCTGGTGGGAAGCTCTAGAAGCACAGAAGGAGAAATAACCTCCACGCGGACCTCCTATACATTTATCTACCCTCCTACCAATCTCAGACTTAGACATGACCCAAAATTTGAGCAGAACTGAAAGAAAACATCAGGGCAGAAAGGTTGTATGTTCCTATTCAATTTATTTTTCTTATGTTTAATGTTTATCGTCTGTCTCCCAACTTCAGAATTTAAGCTCGTTCAGGCCAAGGATCCTTTTTATTCACGAATTATGTCAACTATCTAGAATTGTGCCTGTCACACAGAAGGCTCCCAGAATGACTGGATTTATCTAAAGTGCTTCTTTGTCTATGTCTTTCTCCCCACGAGAAAGTGAGAAAAGGGGTGCGGCTAGTGACCGAGGTGGGGTGGGGGCGAGGGCTCTGCCTGTAGCATCCAAGCCGAGACAGCGGACAGATACCCAAACTGAGGCTTGCTGAAATTCGCAGACTACCACGTCCCGAAATCCCACCCTCTGGGCGGGCTCGGGGCCCAGCGTGCCATTCCTGATTAGTTGACGGAGCTGATGGGCACAAGAGACAGCGAAAGAGGAGCCGCGTTCTAAGCTTCCTTTCACGACGGTTACGCTGAGGGCGGGGGATCGTTGGCGTGGTGGTCGCGGTTGTAGTCCCGGTTGTCTGAGAGGAGGCCAAGGAGGGTGAGCCTGGGAGGGTCCCTGAAGCATGCCCATCGATTCCATTATCCTTGAAATGTTAATAGACGGGGATTCTGGCGGCCGCATTGGAAGATGAAGGGACGGACAGGGAGCTGGACCGGGGATAGGTTTGGGAGGTAATTGGATAAACAGGGAATTGCCACAAAAGAGGCGTCTTGTGGGCAGTTGCGATTCAAAGCAGGTGTCTTCCTGTTAATTCACATGCCTGCGCTTACATGTATTTGCTTATGAACTCTCAAGTTCGGGGACCTTGAGGTCATGGAGAGGACGCAGTGGTTAAGGATGGGGAAGTGTGGGTGTACCCCTTTCAGCATCAGGATTAGAGGTCCTGGAAAAGGATGAGTCCTTTACTTTTCTGCTTTCCTGGTCTCTGATAGGTGTGAACATGAGCATGGCAGAAGGGGACACCCTGATATCAGTGGATTATGAAATTTTTGGGAAGGTGCAAGGGGTGTTTTTCCGCAAGTACACTCATACTTTTAATAATCGTCACCCACAACTCCCCTTCACGATTCCCTTTTCCAAAATGAAATTCATGCAGTTTGGTCTTTGGCTTAGACTGATAATTCAACTGTGATTCTGGAGCTGTGGGTTATTTTTTTTTTTCTGCTTATGATTGATGGGTGGATGGATTGAGGTAACCGTTATTTGGAGTCTTCTTAATAAGGTAAACTCTGGTGGGAAGCTCTAGAAGCACAGAAGGAGAAATAACCTCCACGCGGACCTCCTATACATTTATCTACCCTCCTACCAATCTCAGACTTAGACATGACCCAAAATTTGAGCAGAACTGAAAGAAAACATCAGGGCAGAAAGGTTGTATGTTCCTATTCAATTTATTTTTCTTATGTTTAATGTTTATCGTCTGTCTCCCAACTTCAGAATTTAAGCTCGTTCAGGCCAAGGATCCTTTTTATTCACGAATTATGTCAACTATCTAGAATTGTGCCTGTCACACAGAAGGCTCCCAGAATGACTGGATTTATCTAAAGTGCTTCTTTGTCTATGTCTTTCTCCCCACGAGAAAGTGAGAAAAGGGGTGCGGCTAGTGACCGAGGTGGGGTGGGGGCGAGGGCTCTGCCTGTAGCATCCAAGCCGAGACAGCGGACAGATACCCAAACTGAGGCTTGCTGAAATTCGCAGACTACCACGTCCCGAAATCCCACCCTCTGGGCGGGCTCGGGGCCCAGCGTGCCATTCCTGATTAGTTGACGGAGCTGATGGGCACAAGAGACAGCGAAAGAGGAGCCGCGTTCTAAGCTTCCTTTCACGACGGTTACGCTGAGGGCGGGGGATCGTTGGCGTGGTGGTCGCGGTTGTAGTCCCGGTTGTCTGAGAGGAGGCCAAGGAGGGTGAGCCTGGGAGGGTCCCTGAAGCATGCCCATCGATTCCATTATCCTTGAAATGTTAATAGACGGGGATTCTGGCGGCCGCATTGGAAGATGAAGGGACGGACAGGGAGCTGGACCGGGGATAGGTTTGGGAGGTAATTGGATAAACAGGGAATTGCCACAAAAGAGGCGTCTTGTGGGCAGTTGCGATTCAAAGCAGGTGTCTTCCTGTTAATTCACATGCCTGCGCTTACATGTATTTGCTTATGAACTCTCAAGTTCGGGGACCTTGAGGTCATGGAGAGGACGCAGTGGTTAAGGATGGGGAAGTGTGGGTGTACCCCTTTCAGCATCAGGATTAGAGGTCCTGGAAAAGGATGAGTCCTTTACTTTTCTGCTTTCCTGGTCTCTGATAGGTGTGAACATGAGCATGGCAGAAGGGGACACCCTGATATCAGTGGATTATGAAATTTTTGGGAAGGTGCAAGGGGTGTTTTTCCGCAAGTACACTCAGGTATGTGGCCTACTGGCTTTGGGGACATACCTAGATTGTGTGCATGAGAACAGGAGACATGTACCTGACAAACATGCGTTAGGAGATGCGGGCTGTTTGGTAGCTGCATGGTCAAGAGGTGGTTTGTAGAGAGATGAGTGTGAAAATACTTTGCAATGCGTTAAACACATCATAAAAGGCAGATTCATCCGCTGTTGCTATTGGTCTTTTCTAACAGTGGAACCTGAGTACCTAGACACCTTAATGAGCTTTCCTCTGCTGAGGGGGAATAGATAGCTTTCCCATTTCTCCGCATGTGGCATCATCAATCCTGGTCACAGTTCTTGTAGGAAAGCTTATGTTGATCCAGGGGATGGCATTTGAATGAACTCATCACATTTGTGTAATTTATATAATTGCTTCCTCTGTAGCTGCTGCATTTTCTAAAGACCTGTTTCACTTCTTCAGTGTTACCCCATTTAATTCGTATTTTCATAACTCCTGCTCTAATCTTTATTCCTTCTTTCTGCTTGTTTTGGGTTTGGTTTGCTGTTCTTTTTCTAGTTTCCTAAGGTGGAAGTCTAGGTCATCGATCTGAAAGAACTTTCCTGGTAGATTGAGAAGAGAGTATGTGATTATATTCCTTAAAATGTTCCTAGAATATGGTTATGAAGGAGAGTTAGATTTTTGGAATTTTCTTAGGGAAAAATACTGTATACTTCTGTAGCTAGATATTCAAAACTGCACATGAGTCACCAACATTATCATTTAAAAAATAAGAACAGAATTGAGTGCACAAATAAAAACCATAGGAAATTCTCATTTTCAACACCAAAGTTGGGAATGTTTTGTTCACTCTCAGGAGTCCAGAGAAATCACATGACAATTTAAAGATTTATTTGACTCTTAAAACCTCCTCCCCAAAACTCAACACAATCATCTTATAGCTTGTTATCATATAAGGTAACTGAGAACTAGGAGTAGCCAACTCCTGTATAATTTGAAGCAGAAGAGTGTAATTGTTACACCAAGTCACTTGAACGTGGAGTCTTCCTCAAAATCCATTCTCTGTGTCCATTTTTTATGCCATAGTCTTTGGCTCTTAATGCATACTGTATTTGCAATTTTTCTTTATAATTTCCTCTAGATACCTTAAACTTATTTTATTTCAGTCTCTTTTGTTCATTACGCAAACATGTCTGTGCTTTTAATGTAACTGATTTGCTGGATACTTCAGTTCTTCATCAAACATGGTTTTGCTATACATAACATTTTCTTTGGCCAACTGCAGCAAATTCCCACATTTATGAGCACTGCTCTGGCAATTGGACATGTAATCAATGTTAGCTCCCATATTCTTTTGTAATCCAACCCCTTCTATTTAGATACATTTAACAATAACTTTTATAATATCCTTACTTGGAAATTTTACAAAAATAAAATTACCTCTAAAAATTGCTAATTTTCGGTCATCCCATAGTTTAATGACTTAAAGGAAAGAACATTGGAAAGATTAAGAAAAGAGCAGTTACAACAATTAGGTGATCTTCATAAACTTACTCAGTTTTAAAGGCATTGTGATTACTAGACAGAAGAGAAGAAAAGCAAGTGAAAACTGAAGAGTTATGTAGTCTCATGAAACTTTGATGTTGAGAAACTGATCACCAGCTGCTGTTTCCTTTTCCAGGAGGAAGAAATGGGCTTTCGAGGCAACTTAAAGACCTTGCACTAGACAAATTGCCCAGGAAATAATGATCTTCAAAGATATAATAGACATTTATTCATCTGGATTTGTTTAGGTGTGGTCCTGGTTAAAGATAAAAAGAAGGATCAGATAACTTCATGCTTTTTCTATTTAATATACCCAATAGATTCTTGATTAGGAAAAGGGAAAATGAGCAAGATACAGCCCAGTATCCTAACAACAGTCAGTCTTAGGGAATCATTTTCAACACATCTGATTTGGTTGTATGTACTTGGTACTTAACCAAATTGACTACATAGTGAAAAATTCTAGTGTTTGGGTTTTATAGAGTAGAAGAAGAAAGTGGACTCAAGTAGCCAACACTTCATCTTAAGATCAGCAGTGAAATCCTCCTTGCTGTAGTTCCATTTTGGCTGTTCTGGACAATATCAAATTAGTTTCAGTGGCTTGATTCTAGGCCAAGATTCTGGCAACAGATTGTAGTCTCATTTTGTTTTGTTCAGTCTCACTGGCTTTTTTTTTCTCTCGTCTCTTTCCCTTAGGCTGAGGGTAAAAAGCTGGGATTGGTAGGCTGGGTCCAGAACACTGACCAGGGCACAGTGCAAGGACAATTACAAGGTCCCATCTCCAAAGTGCGTCATATGCAGGAATGGCTTGAGACAAGAGGAAGTCCCAATTCACGCATCGACAGAGCAAACTTCAAAAATGAGAAAGTCATCTTAAAGTTGGATTATTCAGATTTCCAAATTGTGAAATAATGGTATGAATTTAAATTTTCCAAGATAAACTCAATGGTTTTGTTCTTTTATTGTTAATTGGGATTAAACTATTTTGTGTTTACTATTAGGATTTGTCAAGTTATTTTAGGAGCAGATATTTGAATGTTACTGTATATTATGTGTGTATAGGAGGATTATATCATACACAATTCTAGTCAATAAAAACACTTTAGAACCTTCTGCATAGGCTACTTACCGTTTGTGAACTTGACTTGGGGGCAAAAAAAGAGGTATTTACTCAATAAACATCTGTGGGAGGAGAATTTTGAGGCAATTTAAAGAGGTATGAAAGAAAAAGTTAGCAGTTACTTTGAATCATTTCTTTAACTGGTTTCCATGAAGTTTTCAAGAAACTGGACACCTAATAAGAACAAATACCCCAAGTTCAGTTTGTTAGCTGTTTAAATGATGTTAGTTTCCTGGAGTTTCTTTCATTCCTTTCCTCTAAATTCTTATGTTGAAGTTCTAAATGCCTCAGAATGTGACTATTTGGAAGCAGGGTCTTTAAAGAGGTAATTACATTAAAATTAGGTTGTTAGCACACTAATCGAGTGTGCCTTATTGTCTGTAAGAGATGTGTGTGTGCACACAGATAAGAACATATGAAGACAGGGAGAGAGGAGAGACATCCACAAGCCAAAGAGAGAGGCCTCAGGAGCAGTCAACCATTTTGACATGATTGATCTCAGACTTCTAGGCTCCAGAGCTGTGACAGAATCAATTTCTGTTTTTTAAGCCACCCAGTATTAAATTATGTTCTTATGGCAGCCCTAGCAAACTAATATAAGCAATAATCAGGATTTTGCTTCCTTAGCCCTTCAAGTTTCCTGATTTGTTTTGGTCAGCCTTTAAACAAGTATATATCGAATGTTTACTGTGTTTAGCAAATTTGTCATAAATTCCTAAAGGTTTCAATGAAAACGAGACAGCAAAAACTGAGGATCAGTGAACAATTTCCCCAAAACACCTATTCTCATAGTGTTCTTAGAGGTTCCACTCTCAGTGAGAAAAGAAGCTAGTGGCAGTGTGAATGTATTTTTAAAAGTCGATGGAGGGAGCCTTGGTGTCCTCATCTGTAAATAAATAGAGCCGAGCCAGATTGTTTCTCAAGTGTTTTCCAGCTCCGAAATGCTGCACTTCTATAAACTGGAAAGCCCTGGATTTATTCATTCATTGAGTGCCTAATGCAGACCAGGTATTCTTTTTGGTCACGAGGATACAGCGGTTAAGAAAATAGACAAAATCTCTACCTTCAAATACTTCTGAGAGCAGACAATAGGTAAATAAAATACATGTATATTGAGTTGTGTAGTAGTACGTGCAAAGGAGAAAGGAGAAACAGAGGAAAAAGTCATATTTGCTAGAAACAGCTTTCACACCATGCTAAATGGGGACAAGGATTGAGAATTCGGGGTACAAGTGTGAAGAGACGCGCGAACACAAGCGGTCCCCACTAAGCAGCAACTGGTGCGCATGCCTATTGGGAGGTTACAGACGAAAGTGCGTTCTTGTTGGTGGGGGGTAACACCTAGTGCGCATGCCCCGTTACGCACGAAAGTCCGTTCTTGGGTGGGGGTGGGGTAACACCTGGTGCGCATGCCCATTGGGAGGTTAAGACGAAAGTCCGTTCTTGGGGACTCTCAGAAGCGCATGCTCGCGACTCGCGCGTGCATAAACCTCGAGCACCGGCGTGCGCGCGGCCGGCGTTCCGAGGCGGTTGGTATCCGGGAGCTGGTAAAGCGCGACTCGAGGTGACTTGGGGGAAAGCACGCAACGAAAGGATGATTCCGGGAGCTGTCCTAACAGCAGAGGGGCCGTGACCACCGCTTCGGGGTAGTTTTCGGGCCCGGCTGCGCAAGGGCCCCAGCAGGCCTCCGGGCCTTCCTCCCGGAGGAATTAGGTTGGCCTAAATCAGGGCCGGCCGGTGGGCGTTTAGTGCGCAAGTTGCGGGAGGGAACGGGGTGGAGCCTGAGCCTGGGGGACCGTAGCAGCGTCTCCGCCCCACTAAAGCTGAGGGAGGCCCTGGAAAGACTGGAGATGTAATCAGGAAATCGTTGAGTTGGGTAACACTCGGAATAGTTACTAAACGTTTACCACTCATTTGCTGCCGGCTGACAAGTTCGAATCTTAAAAATCATCAGATCAGCTTTTGTAGCTCTGATTTTCCCGGGTCTGAAAAACTAACCTTCCCACCTGCGGGGCAGTCCCGCCCATGCGCTCTCACCTATGAAGAAGGGAGGAGATTATAACTCATTTAATAACTTCACTATAATCTTAATTTTTTTAATCTCTAAGAAGACTTAAAATCAAGTTCTGACAGCCCCTGACCATCACTTTTATTGCCACGGTATTTTGTAGCCATCGCTAAAGACCAAAACAATATTAATATGAACCTTCTGAAAACTTTTTTAAAAAGTAATACATTAAGATTTAATATCAAGTAATACAGAAAGGCTTATAATGCATTTTCTCACCTTATCCTACCCCATTCCCAGTCTCTCTTTCCTGGGGCATTTAACCAGTAATAATCTCTGGCATCTCTTCTTTATAGAGCAATTTGATTTTTTAAATTTCCTATTTAACCAGCCTTAACACTTCATTATGAGTTTTTCTAAAAGTCATGGTTATTCTGTAATGTATAAATGTTATGAAACTAGCTTGAACCTTTTTTTCATGAATAATTTCTAGCTAATGTTTCTTAGCTGAATTTAGGCATCTGTTTTTTTGAAGTGATTGGAATTTTGAACAGTGCATTTATGGGTCAGCTTCAAGTGTGATAATGATTTCACTTTAGGGCATGTGGGATTTAGAAAGGAGCAGTGAAAATTATGAAATTATGAATGCTGCCTTGGATATTAAATTGGTTGCAGAGAAACATAAGCCATGCAATCTGCCTAGAGATCAGGAATTTGTTTTGTTTTAAAATGTGGTTTAATAAGAGATTTAATTTATCTGAAATTTATACTGAAATTAATTAATAGATTAATTTATCTATTATTTATACTGCTTGAGAGAAACGGATAATGCTACATAACTCTGAAGCTTTGATAGCGCGTGTGTGTGTTTTTTTTTTCCTCCATAGGCAATTATTTCCAGTCAGAGAAGGAAACCAGTCCCTGGCATTCTCACCACCTTTCTGCCTGCCATGATCAAGTGCTTGTCAGTTGAAGTACAAGCCAAATTGCGTTCTGGTTTGTCTGTGTGCTCTTTAGGCCAGTGTGTTGAGGAACTTGTCCTCAATAGTATTGATGCTGAAGCAAAATGTGTGGCTGTCAGGGTGAATATGGAAACCTTCCAAGTTCAAGTGATAGACAATGGATTCGGGATGGGAAGTGATGATGTAGACAAGGTGGGAAATCGTTATTTCACTAGTAAATGCAACTCTGTACAAGACTTGGAGAACCCAAGGTTTTATGGTTTCCGCGGGGAGGCCTTGGCAAGTATAGCTAACATGGCCAGTGCTGTGGAAATTTCATCCAAGAAAAACAGGACAATGAAAACTTTTGTGAAACTCTTTCAGAACGGAAATGCCCTGAAAGCTTGTGAAGCTGACTCGAGTAGACCAAGTGCCGGGACAACAGTTACAGTGTATAACCTATTTTATCAGTTACCTGTAAGGAGGAAATGCATGGACCCTAGACTGGAGTTTGAGAAGGTCAGGCAAAGGATAGAAGCTCTCTCACTCATGCACCCTTCCATTTCTTTCTCTTTGAGAAACGATGTTTCCGGTTCCATGGTTCTTCAACTTCCTAAAACCAAAGACATATGTTCCCGATTTTGTCAAATGTATGGATTGGGTAAGTCCCAAAAATTGAGAGAAATAAATTTTAAGTATAAGGTGTTTGAGCTTAGTGGTTTTATCAGCTCTGAAGCACATTACAATAAGAATATGCAATTTTTGTTCGTGAACAAAAGACTAATTTTAAGGACAAAGTTGCATAAACTCATTGATTTTTTATTAAGGAAAGAAAGTATTATATGCAAGCCAAAGAGTGGCTCTGCCAATAGGCAGATGAACTCAAGTCCTCGGCATCGGTCTAACCCAGAACTCTATGGGATATATGTAATCAATATGCAGTGCCAATTCTGTGAGTATGATGTGTGCATGGAGCCAGCAAAGACTCTGATTGAGTTTCAGAACTGGGATACTCTCTTTGTTTGCATTCAGGAAGGAGTGAAAATGTTTTTAAAGAAAGAAAAATTATTTGTGGAATTATCAGGTGAGGACATTAAAGAATTTAGTGAAGATAATGATTTTAATTTATTTAATGCTGCTCTTCAGAACCATGTGTCCTCTGACAGGAAGGGTGACCAGGTCAGTTTCCAGGAAGCATGTAACAATATTTTGGATTCCTATGAAATGTTTAATTTGCAATCAAAAGCTGTAAAAAGAAAAGCTACCATAAGAAATGTAAACACACAAAATTCTAGAGATTCAGAAGCTATCAGACCAAAGACAAGTGATTCATTTTTGTACATTGATGAATCAGATGGCCCAAGCCATAGTAAAATGATAGAGTTGTCTTTACAAAACAAAGATAACTCTTGCTCAGAATCAAGGACCTTAGAAAAAGAGACAGCTGAGACATCAGAATCCAGAGAAAATGAAAAACATAAAAAATCTCTCTTGGAACTTACCTCTTCAGAAAATCCATGTGGAGCCAGTTCAGAAATGTTTGCAAGCCCTTTTCAAACATCGTATCATTTTGAGGAGAGTGAGGATCTAGAAATAACAATAAGTACTACTGGTAATGGCATGCCTGCCAACATCCTGAAAAATAATAGAATTCAGAACCAATTCAAGAGATGTAAAGGTGCTTATGGAATGGGATGCCAACCTCTGCCTTTTGAGACACCACTGAGAGTACATGGTGCTCATGAAGAGGCAGAGGGAAAAAAAAAAGAACCTAGTGATTGTGGAAGAACAAACATTTTTAGTTATGGGCAAGTTAAATTACGTTCCACTGGCTTTATAACTCATGTGGTACAAAACGAGCAAACTATGTCAACTGAAAGAGAATACTTATTTAAAAATTGTGTTCATCCTGGGCCTGTGAGTACCAAAGAAACATTTGGAAATAGAAGACCCCATTCAGTTGAGACTTCAGAGGTCAAAGATTTAACCAGTACTTTAAGTAAAGAATTTGTTCAACTACCTAACAAAAAATTGTGCAGAACAAATGTAAGTTATGGGCTAGGGAACAAACCTCTAGCAACTTATAAAAATGTTGATATTTTTCAGAAAGGTAGTATAAAATCACACACAAGTTGCTTATTACCCAACACATCCTTTTCTTTCCCTTGGTGTAAATATGTTGCCGATGGTAGTAAGAAAACAGATGAGTGGATTGGTTCCTTCAAACCCATAACCCATAAGAAGCTAAGCTTACGTTCACAACTAGGATCCTTAGAGAAGTTTAAAAGACAATATGGAAAGATAAAAAGTCCTCTGAATACTGAAGTAGAGGAAGGTAATTTTGAAATCTCTACCAATCTCAGTCCTCAAATTGAACCTGACATCCCATGGAAAGACAAGAACCATGTAGACACCTCTGATGTTTGTAATATCACGACTATGAAGCATAATGATTCAAATAGTAGGTGTCAGTCAGTCAGTCACATCCTCTACTCGAAGTTCCCATTCTCCGAGGAAGAAGACTGTTTGGAACAACAGATGCCTTTTTTAAGAGAAAGTCCTATAAAGGAGCTAACTCATTTTAACAGAAACCCTTTGGATGTTGAGCTGTCATCTGAATCTCTAGCCTCTAAATTATCCAGGATGAAAGACTCCAAAACAGACTGTCAAACAATGGAAATGATGAGTCATCTTAATGAATGTCCACACTCAGATTCCGGTAGGAAAGACAGTGACTTGTGCCGTCCGTTAATCCTAGAATCTTGTGAGTTATTTAAAAATGAGCATAAAAAAACAGAGAGTGGCGTCATTCCAATCTTGGATCATGTCACAGAGGATAATTCCTTCAATAAAAATAGTGAGACATACTCTAATGACAACACAACAGAGAACCCTGTGATACCAGAAACTCCTTTGGCATTATCCTATAATAATTCTAAAGCTATCACTAAAAATTCAGATGTTCTTATAGCCTCAGAACGACAGATAGAAAGTCCTAATTCTCCCAGTGGAATGCTAACGAGTCATGTAGAAGATTCTGCAGCCCACCAAAGTGGATCTTGTTTTCAGAGTGAGGAATCAACAGCGAGAACTTGTTCTGAAAATGAAGAGTCTTCTCTGGTTTGGCAGCAGCATTTTGATGTGGCCCTGGGAAAAATGGTTTACATCAACAAAATAACTGGACTTAGCACATTCATTTCTCCTACTGGGGACACTCGGGCTGCTTGTACTAAAGACCTGACAACAGTAGCTGTGGATGTTATACTTGAGAATGGTAAGTACATAGTGTTCACTATTCACTGGCATGACGTGCTTTCGAAAATGGGATAATGTCCAAGGAGTGAGATAATCATTGTTCTGAAAGGTTGTCTCAGCAGATAGAACATTTTTAAGTTTAATTATAAAACATGTATTTTATGGATTATGAAAATTCTTTAGGCCTAATACTGTTTAAAACCAGAAGTACAATAAAAGACTGATATGTAGAATGGAAGTGTACATGCATGTGTCTGTGGGTGTGTGTATATGTGAGAGGGTGAGACAGCTGTTAATGAAAATGGTACTATTAATAGTTGAGAAGATCCCCAGTGCTCCCTTGTCTTACTTTCCCCTCGCTCCTAAACACAGTTCTCCTAGAAATTTGTCTTTAAAGACACCTGCCATGCCAGTGTGGTATTTTTCTGGAAGTTGCTCTCAGGTAAAAGGGCCAGAATGATCCCATATCCATCCTCCGTTTTCCCAGTAAAATATGTGGCTCAGTACAGCACTCTTGCGACTTTTCTTTTTAAGAAAATAGGATTTGACCATAAATTTTTTTGGAATATAAGTATGTACACAAGGTTAAGCCTTGTGAACTTTTGAGGGTCATATTAACTCAGAGTTTCACAACAAAAAATGAAGAATTTGGGGCTCTAAGCACTCTCCGTTCATATGCAGTGTTACCTTTCTGAAATGGCAGGACATTAGGACATTGTTGAACCATTTATAAAACCTTAAGATGAATTGTTAAGAAGTAAATTTAACTATACAGAGAGGATCTAGAGGTAGTTTCAGGGAGTAGTGTCAAGTCTCCAGGCTCTAGCAATTTTTTCTTTAAAATGTCTTTGACTCTGCCCTTCCTATTACCTTTTTTCACCTCACACTTTAATTTTATCATTTTGAATTAATTTCTCTCCAGTTCCTGTGCAATACATGTACCCTTTTTGAAGTAATAATTTAATATGTTTTGCCCTTGTTCAAAAACTGTCAAATTCAGCATTGTTCCTAAAACTCAATTCTGATCATCTTTCAGAGAGGAGGGGACAATATGAGCCAGGTCTTACTGGACTTCGAAGTTTAAATTGAGAACATTTCATTCACCCACCTATTCATTTATTCATTCATTTCTTGATTGTTCGTTCGCACTGGTGCTAGGTACTGCCTTGTTACAGGTTAACTGATTTTGCTTTCAGGAATTCAAAATCTCATAGGGAAGACCGCTATCTAAACATAATTATAATATGATGAGGTAAATGTTATAATAGGCACATATATTGGGTGTAAGAGACAAAACCTGGGGACTTGAGAAGGTTACAGCAAGTAGTGAAGAGTGACAAGTAGCACTGTGTGTTTAAGGGTTTTTCAGCTGGAGCACCAGTGACAGTTTGGACTTGATAATTCGTTGTTGTCGGGTTTGTCCTACATACTGTAGGATTTGTAGCAGAATCCATGGCCTCTGTCTGCCAGCTGCCAGTGGCACCCCTCACCCAAGCTGCGACGTCTCAAGATACTGCCTAATGTCCTCCATGCAAAATTACCCCTGTTGAGAATCAGTGATCTGTTTTAAGTTCTTGTTCTGTCTGGTATAGATGGATAATGGGACTAAGCATTAATGTAAGTTAGCAGGATATTTTAACTTAGATGAATCTAGTGGTTAGTCTGACATATCTGGATTCAATTTTTGCATAAAGAGATTTTATGTAATAATTTTTTAATAGTTTATATTTTGAATTCAAATATCTAGGTTTTTCTTTTTCATATTTAGGATCTCAGTACAGGTGCCATCCTTTTAGGAGCGACCTTGTTCTTCCTTTCCTTCCTAGAGCTCGGGAAGAGAGGACTGTGATGAGACAGAATAACAGAGGTAGGAGCAGTAACAGAGATTGCTGGGCACCTAGTACATACTGTACCACCGAACTCAAAAACTAAAAATAAAAAAACAGCAAGAGTTGTATTATTAAGCTTGATCAGTGCCAGCTGTGCCTTACTGCAACCAGGAATTCCCCACAGTCCTGTTAAACAGCAGAACTAACTAAATCAGTGCATGCATTTAGATCTGAAATTACTTTTCCAGACTTGAGGTCAATACTGGGTAATTATGCACAGTCTGTGGTATCTTGTGTTTGAGAAAGTGTTCTTATTTTTAAAGGTCGAGTTGCACTCCATATTGCAGTAGCTTTATTTAAGTTAAAGTCTTAAAAAATGCTTGTTATTTGTTATTTTCCTTTGTTTCTAAACATAGATAAGATACATTTTTACCTAAATGAAGTGAACAATTTTGAACCAGTTTTTTCTGGACTTGTATTCTGAAATATCTCTTGAAACTAGTTTGGAGAAAAGGCTAAAATGCCAGAGTCATCAACTCTAGTTTAAAAAATAACAGATCACAAGTAATGATTCTATAGCATCTTACTACACTGATGGACAGTGACTGTAATGGGGTATGTTGGGTGCTTGATAATAGGGGGAGTCTAGTAACCATAATGTCAACTAATTGTACATTAACAATATCAAAGTAAAATTTTTAAAAAATAACAGATCAAAAGAATTTAGACATCAAGCTAACACTGGGAACATTTGTAGAATATTGGAACAATGTGTCTGAACTTTTCTCTTGAGGCCACACCACACCATACCAAATAGGAGATGCCATTCACCTTTCTCCTTGAGGCTCTTGATGTCAGTTTTACCTGTCTCTTCTTGCTCTAGATACTGTGGATGATGCTGCTGGTAGCAAATCGCTTCAGTCTTTGTTCTCAGAATGGGACAATCCAGTATTTGCCCGTTATCCAGAGGTGGGTCTGCTGCAGTTTTTCTTTGCTTATTATTTAAAAATTTGAATTTCATTTATGTTGGGTATGGGCATGAATGACTATATTACTTTGTATATGACTATATGTATAAAACTATATTAATTTATAATTATGAATGGAAAGTATACTTATGACTGTTCCCAAATAATGTATGGAAATTAATATTTAATGTGGAAAGAAAGAATCTGGATTCATAGCATTTTGGGAACTCAGACATTTTGGATTAAACACGTGTCATCAGTGAATAGTGAATGTGTTTGTGTTTTTACCACTTTTAGAAACCCTGACTGACAGCTTTGGCAACGTATTTAGGGTGGTGATAATAAAAAAACTGTTATGATTAGACAAAGCATTGAATCCTGTGCTGGAGGAACAGTTCATCATTGAACCTGAGTGTATGTTCTGTCTTCATGGATTATCACAGAATGTACCTTGTGTGTTGTAATGAGGGTGTAGAATAAATGAGCATTTGATTATTGATTCTTCAGTTAAGATGTCTTTAAGGACTTGATCTTGGAGCATAGACAAATTGTTATTCTGAAACAATAATCAGTTTTTGTCAGTAATTTTGTTTATAAACAAAAAAATTATTAAGACTAACAGTTCATAGAGCCTTTTGAATTTCTGTAAGTTCCCGAATTCAACCCACCTCTAGTAGGTTCTGTGAGAACAAATGTTTTTAAAGCATTTTGAGATTTTGGCAAAACAGTTATGCAGACACAAAAATTAAAATTTATATGATGTTTGTGCTGGGTCTTTCTAGGTTGCTGTTGATGTAAGCAGTGGCCAGGCCGAGAGCCTAGCAGTTAAAATTCACAACATCTTGTATCCTTATCGTTTCACCAAAGAAATGATTCATTCAGTGCAGGTAACAGATTGACTTTGAAATCTCATAAAAATATACATAAGACCTAAGCCTAACTCTCTTAAACTGGATTTATTTAGTAATATCAACCATCCTCGTTAAGGCACATGTGTTTTTTAAAATCTTAATGGAACTTTTATCATAGAGGAAAAAGCAAAGGACTTATTATAATTACAAAGAAAAAAATGTCCTTACTAGTGTGAGCAGGTTTGAGGATGAATTATGCATTTCAGGCTCACAGTTTCAGGGATTATGTATTGACTTTATGATTTGTGACAATGATTTATAAATAACAAGTACTGCAGAGGCATTGTCCTTAACTGTGCAACAGTGCCCCTTTTTAAATGACCCTCTACTGTATGAGGCTACACATGACATGGCTTAGGAGACCCTAGATAGAGGAGTTCCATTAACAAGAGGGACCCCTGTCTTCTCTGCTTTTTTAGTTTACCTGCTCTCTATACCTCTCAGGCTATCTTTGTCTCTTTGTTTTCAGTATGGAAATAAATTAGGAGGTTATGCAACTCCAAGTAAACTCCTCATCTGGCAATGAGCTGTACCAGAGCAGTCTGAAATTGATCCAGAAATAGTCCTTGGGCAGTGGTATAGATGGGGTGGGAGGGCCTGTGCAGAGAACCTTATCTGTACTTGGACAGAGAGAAGCCACCAAGGTCTAAAGCCACCAGTGGCTTTAAAGGACTATCTACTCCCAGCTGGTTTTCCTTGTTTTTGCATAAATTTCCAAAATTCATTTCAGCCCTATTTGTTAGCAATTCTGGTCATATTAATAAGTCCCTGGTCATTCTGTTGGGAACATTTCAGGCCTACTCTGAAGTTTTGTTAGCATATCCCTCTTAGATGCCTCTGTCTGTGTTCCCTTGAGGTCTCCTTCCTTGATGCTTTCTGGTCACTACCTGCCCATCCTGATGACTCCCTCAGGTTCATCAGCACCTTGCCTCAATCTTAGATATGAATGTGTATTGCAAACAACTCTAAATTTTTGTCTCTTTTTTGCATAAGGCTTTATTAATTTTTTTTTAGTGTTTTACTGCTTATTTGAATGTATGGCAGGTTCTCCAGCAAGTGGATAACAAGTTTATTGCCTGTTTAATGACTACCAAGACTGAAAAGAATGGTGAGGCAGGTAAGAATGGAGTTTAGCCTTGATAAATAACCAGTGGGTCTTCTGGTAGCCTCCTTTTAAGTTTTTTTTTAAATATATATAATACAGTTGCAATGATTTGGACAGATAAAAACCAATTGGGAAAACCAATCTAAATTACTATTATGAAATAACAGTTTTAAGTACATTTAGTTTTATATACATACACACATATAACATGTTGAACTATTAATAGTAGTTACCTCAGGAGCAAGAATAGGAGTCGTCAAAGGGGAAATTCCATCTTTTACTCTTTAAAATATTTGAATTGTTTTACTTTTTAATAATGTTTTCATGTATTCCCTTTATAGTAATAGAAAATTTATATAATGAACTCTGCTAGGTTTACCAAGAGTTACATACAATATCTTGGTAACCTGCTTTAATAAAACGATAATAGTTTGTAAATAATGTTAACTCATTCATCAAATATTGATTGAGTACCTTTTGCATGCCAGGGACAATACTAGGCCCTAGGGATACAATGGTGGAAAAGCATATACATGCAAGAGAAACAGATAATTATACAAACATTAACATTTTGACTCTAGCGTTAGGGAGAAGAGAAACAGATGCTGTAAGAACCTGTATTGGGAGATGTAATTTAGTCAGAGAGGTCAAGGAAGGTTTTCTTGGTAAGAGGGAGGGAGGAGGATGCCTGGCGGCGGGAGTTAACATACACGATTTGTGATTTCTTCTCCTTTAGTTTGGAGGCAGGGCAAGTACAACTGGAGTGAGAGCTAGAGGAGGCTGGAGAAGAAGCCTGTAGCCAGATCGTAACTGCCAGTTAAAGTTTTTTCTGTCCCAGCACCAATTAGAAATACTGAAAGCTTTTCATTTTCTTTTTTTATTGTTTGTTTTCACAGTGGCACACGTCACATTGTATTTGCATTTTGAACATACTACTCTGATTGCAGTGGGAGAATGGTTGGGTGTGGGGGTAGAATCCCAGTAACTACAGAGAGGAGGCTGTGGCAATATCTAGGATGAAGGATATTAGGAGGATATTGCAGTGTCTAAGAAATGATGGCTAGCTAGGACCAGGGTGGACCAGAGAAGCAAATGCACTGGAAAGATATTTAGGAGATAAGGTCAACAGGGTTTGGTGATGGATTGGATATGGGGAAGGTATTGACTTCTAGTTTTCTTACCTCCATAACTGACTGGATGATGTTGCAGGACCAGGTGACAGAGAATGCAAGGGGACTGAGAAATCTATGAATGAAACACAGGGACTAAAGTAGGGTGTGAGTGAAAGAAGACTTTTTTAAATTGGGAGATTGTTGAGCACCTTTATAAGGAATGCTTAATAGTGTAAGATTCCAGAAAAGGCCTGAAGGGCTGAGACCCTGAGCACCAATGGAAATGTTAACTCCTGATAGATAACCTGCAGGTGAGTGCTTCTAAAGTTTGAAAGAAGTTCATTCTCTTTGCATTTCAAAATACTCCCTTTTACCTTATTTATATTATAGAAATATTCAGTAAATGTAATAGATCAAAGGCAAATTAAAATCCTTTCAGAATTGTCATAAATATGGAATAAGTGAAAGTCATATTCTAGTAGTTTTACTGTTTCTAAAAAATGAATCAATTTTTTTCTAAAATTTTGATTACCTGGAGTTTCTTGTGTTTAATACTAAAATCTCTAACTGGCACCTGAGATGGTTAATAACCACAGAATCTCCAGATGTTCAAAGAAGCAAAAAGGACCTATTTAAATTTCTCTTAAAATTCTATATTATCATTGGATTAGGTACCACCCAAAAGAATTCTTAGATACATTTTTCTAAATCAAAATGTGTTTTTACTATAATTCATGAATACCAAAAGCAACCTATTCCTATAAATTATTCACTTTTAATATTTGCACAAATTTTTGAAATGGACATGTTTTAAATTATACTGAAATTAATGCCATATATTAGCATTTTATATTGCATATTTCTACCTACAATAAAATACAGTTCAGTTCTGATGCCCTGTGGAATAAAGATTCATTCATTTCTGTAAATATCGAATGCCTATTATTTGCCTGGTACAGTTATACATGCTGAAATGTAAAACAAAAATCCTTGCACTTATGAAGCTTCTGTTCTATTGAATATAGAACAGTATAGCTTGTTGGAATATAAAAGTATAGCTTCTGACATAAGTAAATGACCTTCATATATTCTACTTCATTCCAGGAATCAAAAATGTGGTGAACACTATGTAGACTATGAGCTCTTCCTCCAGAGTCAGATGTAGGATTGATTTCCTAGGGTTCCCAAGTCTTGGTAATTCTCACTGGCTCTCGTTTGAAGTTACTCCCTCACAGTTTTTTATTTATTCCATTGTTTTGCCCAATACAGGATGTTCAGTATCCATCACAATCAGCTGCAACTCCTCCTATTCTCAAAGGAGTTTAAAATTCAGCATTTTGGGGCCTATTCCTGTGGTTGAACATGCTGCAGAAAAACTTACTTTTTTTCCTTAAGACATGCCATGAATTTGGTGTCATAGAAACTTTTTAATCTTTAGTAGAAATAGGAAAAACAGGCATTATCTACTTTGATCAAATTCATTTTTTCCACAATATAACCAATAGCAATAAACCTCAACCCTTTGGCCAAAAGTAATAAAATGATAAGCTAAAAAGATTACTGATGTAATTGAGAATCAGTCATCCTGTCAATAAGAAAGGGATTTCCCTTTAGGCTTGGCTTTTTGGGTCAGAACATTTTGCCTTCTCTCTTGCACTTGGGAATCGAAAGCCTTGCTACTCAAAACCATGGTCTGTAAATAGCATCACGGAAGTTTTTTAGAATTGCAGAAGTCTTGTATCCCACCTCTAACCTATGAATCAATCTGCATTTTAATAAGATCCTAAGGTGATTTGTAAGCCCATCAAAGTTTGAGAAACCTGAGTCTGAAGCAAGGCCAACTATGGACTGTACCCAAATCCATCCATCACCTGGTTTTGTACAGCTAGAGAGATAAGAATGGTTTTTACACTTTCAAATGGTTGAAAAAAAGCAAAAAAAGAATATTTCTTGACACGTTAAAATTATACCAGACTAATATTTCAGTGACCATAAATAAAGTTTTATTGGAACACAGCTACCATGTTCACATATTACCTGTGGCTGCTTTGTTTCAAATGAATAGTTGCATAATTGTGATAGAAACCATATGTCCCAAAAATCCTAAAATATTTACTATCTGGCCCTTAGCAGAAAATGTTTGCTGATCTCTGATGTAAAGTGTACTAGAATCACATTTTTCATGAGTTCCAGAATGGCCTGAAAATCAGGGTCAGCTGATTACAGTAATGTGTCTAATGATACTTCACTGTACCTAACTTGAATTAATAAAGCAAAATCTGTATTTAAACATTAGGAATTTAGGGCTTTAACCTTGTTTTTAAATGAACTGAAGAGCTTTTTTATCAGGGATCAATTTATTGTAGTTACCATGTCATTTATATTTTTCAGGAAATAAAAGATCATTATTACCTTACAGTATTTGTTTCTCTCATGTTCATGTTGTTAAATAGTTTGAATTAACCTTTTTCTCCCTCAATACAATATGATTATTTGAATCTTGATCTGAGAATGTGACACTCCGGTAATCCTTGCTGATCTTCTAGGTGGTAACCTGCTAGTCCTGGTAGATCAGCATGCTGCCCATGAGCGTATCCGTTTGGAGCAGCTTATTATTGGTAAGGATCTGAATGGGACTAGAAAAGATGTGGGACAGCACAGCAGAATTAGTATACCTCAAACAGTTTTTCAAACTGTGACTTGTGAGGAAAGATGAATTAAATGTTTAAAAAATTAAGCTGAAGTCTTCTGGTTTGACTTCTTTTATAGGGGAAAGAATGTAGTCATTCACTTGAAGTCAAACATGTGGGTCTTATACGGTTAGACAGACTTGCTATATATTTATCACCAGCCCCTAGGATTAGATACTTAATATTAGGCTACTCTATTATAACATCTGGCACAAAGATAGACCCTCATATGCCCATCTTATCTTTGTATACCTTCTTTGCAGGTCATCAGGCAGAAAACAATAGCAACTCAGAAGGTCCAACATATTTTTTTAATTTGTTTTAGAATAGGTGATATAATCAAATAGGTTCACCTGAGAAGTACAAGTGGAATATAAATATAATAAAGTCTCTGTTCTGCCCTTGTCCATTATCTCACCTAGTTTCTCTCCCCAGAGGCAACCAGTATCACTAATTTGTTGTGTGTCCTTCCAAAGTACTTTTTAATGTAGCTACCCTTTTTTCTCATCATATGGCAGTGTGCTCTCCAAGTGGTACAATGCCAGGAAAATCTTTACTCCTGGGGCCAAATAATGAAAAATACTGTCAAAGAGGTAGGTGAGGTCCTAAGGAGATATTCATGGATGAGGCTGACAGTAGTAATACTTTCATGTTCACTTTCCTTATAAAATGAAGATCTAGTTGTTGGGAAAGATACAGTTAAAAACGGTGTCAAAAAAAACTTCCTTGTTAGAGGCCCTGGACCATTTGACCGTAGTTCTAATTGATTTTCTTCAGAGACTGGGAAACCCTGCTGAAGGAATGGGGATGCCTCCTTGAGCCACAGGATTTGTGCAGTAAACCCATTTTAGCTCCCCAGTGATCCACATTATTCACCTGTTATAAAACCACATTTATTGACTAGCTACAGGAATATTGCGTTGTTCATTTGAATGTAAGATTGAAGCCATATTTCTTATTTTGGAAAATACTGCTAAAATGAATAAACAGAGTGGCCATTTAGTAGTTTGACTTTAATAATGGAAATTCAAAGCATAAAATTCAACATGGAACACACTGCTAAGCACTCCAGGGAACATGGCTGTGCCTCTTACCATGCTTCATTTTTGTCTGAGTTTTGACAATTTCACTTTCTACTCTTACCCTGTTCATCTTTCCTCGAATAGAGTCCTATGAGAAGCAACAGCCACAAGGCTCTGGCCGGAAAAAATTACTGTCTTCCACTGTAAGTCCTCCGCTAGAGGTAACAGTGACAGAGGAACAAAGGAGACTTTTATGGTTAGTATCAAGAGTGTGTGTGAGTGTAAATTCTCACAGCAATTCTATGAGGTATAAGCATAACTATTGTTCCTTTTTTCAGATGAGGTATCTGAGACCAAAAGAGGTTGCATGACTTGTTCAAGGTCATAACAACTATTAAGTAGTGGAGCAGGTACTCAGATGCAGGTCTTCCAACTTCAAATGTTGCTCTTCCTAGTATATCACAACTGTTGAATATAGGATAGAGTTGCCCTGATAATGTTTTCCAGCAGTTGGCTTAGAATACTCTTACAGTTTCTTGGAACAGTCAGTGTTTATACTGTGTTGTTTCTGAAAGCAAAGTTACTGCAGTAATTGCTTCCATTCTGCTTTCCCTTGGTGCATTCTAGACTCTTAGTTTTCATTACCATAATCATACTGGGAAGAAAGTAAAACACTGGGCCACAAGGAAGGAGCAAATCATATAGTGAGTCACAAGATAGGAAGTTTTCCCACTTTGGGGCAGCATAAATTATTGGAAATGAAAAAGAGAAAATTGTCTCTGAATTTGTTTCAGGTCTGCGAATATGCTACTGCCGAAAAATCCTTTTCCCTGAGGCATAATTTATATTAGAGGCAGATCCATTTATTTACATCCCGTTAATCAGACTTCTCAGTTCCTGGGATTGTTAATTACCTCCCTGCTTTAATGCTGATTCAAAACATTCTCAGCCCTTTTGTTTGTGCCAAACTCTCTTCAGTGCCAGCAACACGGAGAAGTTAGCAGTTCCTCAGTGAAGAATAAAAACTTAGGAACAAGACTTAGAAACAAGTTGATTCTCTCAATGGAAAAGAGAAAAAAGACAAATGAAGGTTACTCTAAATCAAAAGGGAAATTTGATAATTAAATTCTAAACAAATAACCACAAGTGTGAGAAAAACAGTACAACTTGTAAAGCTTGTGGCAGCTTTTGAAAAGCTATCAAGTATTTGCAGCCAGTACTGAAATGTGAATGAAGTAATACTTTGACATTTGAGGTTATCTCTTTAGGTGTTACCACAAAAATCTGGAAGATTTGGGCCTTGAAATTATATTTCCAGACACTAGTGATTCTCTGGTCCTTGTAGGAAAAGTACCACTCTGTTTTGTAGAAAGAGAAGCCAATGAACTTCGAAGAGGAAGATCTACTGTAACCAAGAGTATTGTGGAGGTAAGACATAGCAGCAGATATTGAGGAAATTGCTGAGTGACAGTAACCTATTTTGTTTAGAAATTCTCTTTATTCATGTTTTATTTCAATAGACATTTATGAAATATCTGCTGTGTGACAGGTGCTAGGGATTCAGAGATGAATTAGTTCAAGGTGAAGAAGTATATTTAAAGAATTAAAATACTATGAAATTTGCCCTGTAGAGATATATTCAAAAGTACCATGGAAATACAGAATGATAACCTTACCCAGTGGGATGTAGGTCAAGGAAAAGTCACAGAAAAGCTGTTTTTCAGGAAAAGTCTTCCTGCCCAAGTACAGAAGAGGGGAAAAGGGCATTCTTTACATAGCAACAGATATCAGAATAGATTCCGTGTTTAGGACACACACACACACACACACACACGGCTTGGATTACAATACAATATCTGCGGGGTAGCTGTGGGACTAGATGAGGCTAAGATAGTTTGTCAAGACTAAATCATAAAGGGATTTAGCATAGTCTGCTAGGTAGTTTGTATTTCACCCTATAGTCAGCCAATGAAGAGTAAAGATACACGTAAGCATTGCACTTTAAATGTGATTACTCTCCTTAGATGCTTTGGTGAAGGTCTGGAAAGCTGCTGTTGGGATGTGGTATTGGAGGTGTTGAAGAGGATCATTACTTCTTATGTGTTGCACTCTTTTACAAGAAACTTTTTTTTTGTCTTTTTTGCCTTTTCTTTCTTCTTTTCTGTTAGTTTTATTTCTCTTTTTTTTCCTCTACTGGTTTAGAAGTTACATATTCCATATGTATTCCTTCCTGTTCCCTTCCTACACTACAAAAACCTTACAGCCCTTTATCTTCCATCATTCCCCTCCTGTCTTCCATGTTGTTGCCTAGTATCGTTAATTCTACCTTGTTTTGAATCTCCCTGGTAGTCATTAATTTTATAGTCAGTGTTTAGTTAACCAAAATGTTTAGTTAACGAAAATCTTTGTTCACTGTTGCTTCTTGCATCCTACTTACTGTATTCAATTTTCCCTTTACTGAAATAAATCTTCTAAAAGTTCTTTTATGAAGAGTCCATAAATGATAGATATCTTTGAAAATATCTTTGCCTTCACAGTTGTATGATTATCTAGCTAAAAATAGAATTTCACATTGTCAGGTATCTGTCAGCATTTTGAAAATATTACATTACTTTTGTCATTCTGTTTTTGCCATCAAAGTCCACTGTCAATCTAATTATCATTACTTTGGGGTAATCTGATTTCTCTCTGGTTGCTTTTAAGATTTTCTTTGTCCTTGGGGTTCTGTCATTTCGCTGTGATGTATCTTTGTATAGATTTATTTTCATTTCTTCTTGGGATTCATTATACTTTTTCAATTTGGAAAATGTATGGTTATTGTCACTTCAAACGATGCCTCTTCCTCCAGTCTCTCTCATCTCCTAGAAATCATGTTGGATGTCTCCTGGATCTTATCTTTCTATTCTCCTTGTCTTTTGACTTCTGTATTTCCCAGTGTTTTATCTGTGTGGTACATTCTGGGAAATTTTCTCACTGAACTTCCAGTGAACTTAATTCTCTCCTCACCTATTTTTTAGATGTTTAACTTGTCCACTGAGTTTTTTTAAATCTCAGTGACTATATTTTTAACTTCTAGAATTTTTATTTGGTTTTCAAATCTATCTGCACTTTTTTCATGATGTCCTGTTTAATTCATTATGCTTTCTACTTCTGTATCGATAGCTCTTTCTGTTTACAGCACAGGCAAATCCACATGAACTCAGTCTACCAATTTTCTAGAAATCTGAATTACTTAAGTAATATCTAAAAATAAAAATTAGAAGATAGAGTGGATAAATGTGGAATAGATTGATATGGGAAAGATTGGAGGTAGGAAGAACAGTTGAGAGGCTGTTACACTGATTCAAATAAGAGAGGATGAGAATTTAACTCAGCAGTGGGAATGGAGAAAAGGAGAGACATATTTGAAACGTGATTTGGAAGGCAGAATCAGGAGGGCCCAGTAATATAATATATTTATATTTTATATACATCCATCTAGCTTGGATGACTGGAAGGATGGTGGCGCCACTGACAGAAAAAGGAAGTGGAGGAGGAGTACTTACACCTGGCTGGGGAGTTAGATTGTGAGCCTAGGTTTAGACACATTGTATGTGCCTTAGACGGGTTGTCCAGTGGATAGGCTGACTCAAAAATCGGCACTTGGGAAAGACCTCTGGGCTGTATGTATCTATTTGGGAGTTAACAGTATGTATATTTTTGGACAATATCAGAAGATGGGGAAGGGTCTAGAGGAAATGAGGTTGTGCAGAGAGAATGTAAAGAAGAAAAAAAGAGGAGAGCACAGGGTGGAGCCTGTGGGATACCAGCATTCAGGGTGTATATGTTTGGGTAAATGTCTGAAAACTAAACGTCTGAGAAGAGGAAACTAAGCAATGATTGAAAATATTTGGTCAGAAAAGTAATATTGCTAAAGCCAAGAGAAGTTGTAAGCAAGAAGGGAATGGTCAACAGTGGCCATAGAGTAAAGCCCTTTGAAAAATTGGATCTGGCAATCCTACAGACATTGGTTACCCTGTGGAATCTGTGTCTGGGGCTGGGGTGGGACAGAGGACAGATCGCAGTGGATCAGGGAGTAAAGGGAGAGGGGCTTAGTAGACAGCTCTTTCAAGAACTCCGGCTGCATTCAGAAGAGAAAGTCATAAGGTCAGGAAGGATGGGGCAGGACTCAGGGCTGAGGAAGGATTTCTGTTTGTTTTCAGGTGAGAGAGGCTTCCGCATGTTTGCAGGCTAAGTGTGGTAAGACACTGGAGAGGAAGAGGCAGTTAACAGTGCCAGCTTTTAGATTACCTTGATTTTACCCTGTCCCAAATCACCCTTTGATCAGACAACCTTTGCTTTGTTTTCAGCAGTGCTTTTTTTCCTAACAGAACTTATTTTCTCCAAGGCTTCTCCTCCAAATTGTCTTAAATCCAAAAGATAGGATCTGTTAAGGTCTTTTCTGGTAATTCAATCCCTAAGTATTTAACCAGAAAATTACAATAAAACTTTTTCTAAAGTGACTTCAAACACTGCTGGTAAGGAGTTTACTTCAAATTGAAACAAAGCTATGGCTTCAGAAAATCTTGATTATGTTAAGTCAGGCTGATCAGGAGAGATTTTGTTGATTCTGGAAGAAGCTGGAACAGTTTTGTTGTCTTGAAGAGGTAGTAGCTGCTTGGATCCTAGCAGTTGAAAGGTCACTAATAGATCTTTCTATAAAGTTCTATACTCTAGACTGATGAATGAGCCTTTTTAATATTACTTAAATCATCTAGCAGTAATTGAGCCATTGAAATATGGAATAAACAAAGAATAAGATCTGTCTCCTCCTCACCGGTCTTCCAGACTGATGTTTTGCAAGCCCCAGATACACAAGCACAAGAGAAAATGACAAAGGAGCTAAGTCAGATCTCTGCCCACACAAAGCTTTTTAGTGGGTCCGGTATTATGAGACATCTTTCTTTTTAGGTTTGTTTGGGAAAATGTGTGACTTAAAAATGTATCTACCATGTAGCTTTTGTTAACTGTGCTCATTTGTAAGCATGGTGGACAAGAGAATATGTGAGGGAAAGGAGAGAATTTTCTGAGACTAGTTTGAAAAGAAAATCAGTCTACAGCCATACCACCCTGAATGCACCCAATCTTGTCTGAAAAGAAAATCTACTTTGTTGTAATCTTGGGAAGATGTTTTATACATAGCCATGTCTAAGAGTAAAGAAATCCTGTTTCCTTATAAAGAATTTGTTAAATGTACCATATCTCAAAATTGTTCTTATCTCCAGAGATTAAACAAATTAGTAGCATGAAATAGTGTCTGCTTTAAATTTCTTTAAAGTCCTTTTGTAACTGTTGTCATCTGCAGGGATAACTATTGAAAGAACTACCCTAGGGACAGAGATGTACTGCTAGTGGGGAGAAACTTCTCAACGAAATGCTTCAGAAAATAAGCTTTCCAACCTGAAGGGAACTGTCAACAAAACATTACAAAAAAGCCTGTGGGAACTAAAGTGACTATTTATGTTTATGACATTTAAGCAAGTATTACACTGAGTGCACAGTTGGGTTGATGACTGTTGTATATTTATTCTGTTTGTGTGTAATATTATACTTGTTCTGGCTAAGATTATAAATACAGACAGACAGCCTCCCAGTGAGAAGCTTCCCAGATATTTAGATCAGTTGAATCCTCAAGGCTACTCTCACTAGTTACATAACCTCATGAGTTGTTGAGCTATGTTTGGAGGAAGTTTCAGTAGCTAAAAATATTCTCTATTTAATAAGATTTCTATTCAATTGTGTTGTGTTGTTATTTCATATTCAAAGTACCTTGTAACAAATAAATTATTTGTACCTAAGTGCTATGTTGCTGAGAACTCTCCCTTTAGGAGGTGTCTTTTAAAAAGAAGAAAATTGAGACATTTTTTTAAACTATCAAAGGGCAGTTACAACAGTGGACTAATGCCTGTTTTTCTTTCTGTTGTAGGAATTTATTCGAGAACAAGTGGAGGTAAACCTTTCTCCTATTTGGGGGTTTCACACAGAGGCACCACACACAAAAGGCTCCTCTTCCCATTAATAAAGAATGTGTTTATGCATTAGCTACTGCAGACCACAGGAGGCATCCAAGGGACTTTGCCACTGACTGTCCAGAAGGTGTTGGCGTCCCAAGCCTGCCATGGTAAGACTCAGCCAGCTATTGAGTGTCTCCATATTGCTAAATGCTGGTAAGGAGTAAAAGGCACATTTACTACTCACCTCTGAGGGTACAACTTAGATCAAGAGACTGAGTACACTAGAAGATTACTTTAGAAAGCAAAATACCAGCACATGTATCTGACCAGAATGCAGATGGATTTACATGAGTGGAGGAGTAATTAATTCCTGGAGATGAATTTTGAGTCAAGTTTTAAATGAGCTGAGGGACATCGTTCATAGGTTAGAAGGGGAACTTTACTACAGGGGGTGGAATTAGCCTGTGCAGAGACTCAAAGAAAGAAACAAATTAGTTATTTGAAGAGCAGCAAAGTGTCAAGAAATTAGGCTGATAAGAAAGAATAGAAGCCTAGGAAGTCACAATAAAATCTTCTGATTTTATACAAAAGGCATTAGAATTATTGAGGGCTCTTGAGTAGGGTAATATGATAAAATATAGAAAATGGTATTGGAGAAACTTATTTTTTTCTTAAAGGATCACTGTTATACAATCTTACAGTTTCAACACCGTGGTTCAACATTCACCCATATTATTAAGTCCTTACCACCTCCATTGTGGTCACTGTCTGTCAACATTAATTGTAATAGAGTCATTATAGAGTCATTGTCTTCTCTGTGCTGTGCTACTGTCCCATGACCTACCTACATTGTGCAAATTGTAGTGCCCCTTAATTTCCTCCTCCCTCCCCACCCACCTTCCCCAACCCCTCCCCTTTGGGAACCACTAGTCCCTTCTCGGTGTCTATGAGTCTACTGCTATTTTTGGAGGAACTTACTTTAGGAACCATGACAGCTCCAGAATCCCCTGCAACTAACATTTGACCAGACTGGCATCTCCAGTGTGCTGACACCCTCCCACCCTTTTTTCTCTTCATCAACCTGTTCCTCTCTTCACTTTGTCTTCTGGCCCAGTAGCCATAGTCCTTCATTAGTGTGTCTCCTGCAGATGTCCTAAAGATTCCTTTGCCCATCTATCCTATCTTTACTCCTCATACCTGCCACCTCCCTAGTTCTTGCCCTGTGAGTCCTCTTACTTAGTCTCTTTATGTCCCATCTGGCTCCCCTTCAAGCTTCAGCACCCAGAGGAATTTTTTTGACATCCCTCTGAGCATGCCATTCCTCTAATTGACATGTGTCAATGACTTCCCATTGTTCTTAGGATAAAAATTTTATTCTTTACCATGGCCTCCAAGGGTCTTCATGATCCACCCCTGCCAGTTTCATCTCCTGTCACTCTCCACCTTGCCCTTCACATTCCAGCCCACTTCCTTGGTTTTGTTCTTGTGTGCTAAGTTTCTGTACTTGCCCTTTTCCTGTCTGAAATACTTTTCTGCTGCTTTTTCAAGTAGCCCTATCTTTCTTAAAATTATTAAATTAAATTTAGCCAGGCAAGCCTCCCCTGACCTCCTTAACTGGGTTTGGTTTTCCTAATATATATTGTTTCATACTCTGTATTTCATAGTATTTATTTATAATTTAAATTATAATTTAATTTATAATGTAAGTTGTTGTGTAACTATTTGTTTAATGTTTGTTTCACCTCTTAGACCTATCAGGTTATAAGGTCCATGAGGCAGAGATCATCTGTCTCATTCACTTCCTGGTGTAGCTCCTAATACAAAGTATATACTTAACAAACATTTGTTGACTGAGTGAATTAGCATATGCATAAAAGCAGATTCTGATAAATGAGAGTTTATATTGGGAAGGTTATTATGGAAATAGAAGCAAATAAAATGGACCTTGTGGGGAATAATCAGAGAGCTTGGTGGTAAGTTGGCTATGGACAAAAGATGACCTCAATTTTACAAACCTGTAAGCAACAGGCATAAATATTGCTCTTGCCTCTTTGGGAAAAACTCTGAAGGCAAAATCCTAACAAGTTAAGGAATGTCTCCTATAGAGATTAGAAAGACAATGACTACACAAGGAAAAGCTGAGACAAATCAGTCCTGAAGCCTTAGTTTCATCCATGGCCATAAGTGCCAATTTCAAGCAGTATTAAGGTAACAGGAAAGGAGCCTAAGAAAAACATCTTACTTTTTCCAATATTTGGCTCTCACTAGGGTCAGCATTGGTTTGCCACTGTACACACCATAACCTTCTTTCTGCTTTTTGGTTAGGGGCCATTAAGTTTAATGATGGCCTGAGCCCAGAGGAGAGCTATCGCCTTATTGAAGCTCTGTCCCGGTGCCAGCTGCCATTCCAGTGTGCTCACGGGAGGCCTTCCATGCTGCCGTTAGCTGACATAGACCACTTGGAGCAGGAAAAACAGGTATAGTAATAACCAATGGGAGAAGAGGGAAAAAGTTATCTTCTTTCTTTTCCAGCTCCTATTATCCAAATGTAATCTATCTTTATCTTTCCCAAAATATGAGAGCTTTGAAAAATATGCATTGGAAGTTTTATGTAAAGTCCAGCTATTTCATTTTCTAGCTCAAATTCAAAATGGAGCTTAGGCTGAATTGTCATATTCATGATGCCTTTGTATTTTTTAAGCTTAACACATACAGGTTGACGTAATCTGAACATCTGTTTCCTACTGGCCCTGAGTTTGATAAGATGTAGAAATTCTCTGCGGGGCTATAAAAAGTTGGTAGAAACATAGCAAATTCACTGCTGGCAAATACAGCTTAAACAGCCAGTTGCTTGATGGGATTTGCTGGAACTGGTGGCCTTGCAGGAAATGGTAGCCATTCATGAGGTTCTCTATACTTACGGTTTGGGGATCATCAGGCGGGGAACCAAATTTAGGAGACTTCCACATTGTGGTTTGACCCAGATTACTCAGCAGCCCAGAACAATGATGTGGATAATGCAATAAAGGCACAGAGTGATTTAAGTTAAAAAACATTTTCTATCCTTGTTATAAACTGAAATGAAACAGAACATGAGAGCATAATAGGAATGTCCATGTTGCCGCTTTCCAAACTCTTTTTTTTGGCTTGTCTTTCCCACTAAGGGCTATAAAATCTTTTGTTGCAAGGAGTTTTCAGGTACTTGTGTTTTCTGACTCATCCAATAGATTTTACTCCATTAAAACTTATTTGTTTCACCTGACAATGAAAAAGTTTTGTCCTCATTCTTGAGAGATGGGAATCAAGACTTAAATTTTCAGTCCCATTTATCCTAAGGAAATCTATAATGAATCCAGAAATTAGAAATCTAAACAGATTTGAATAGTCATAACTCAATGTAAGTGTTTTCATATAAGTAAATATGTATATGCTACTTGGCTTTTCATGCTGCTAATTGGAGTTACTCTCTTTCTTCCAATAGATGAAACCCAATCTTGCTAAACTTCACAAAATGGCTCAGGCCTGGCGTCTCTTTGGAAAAGCAGAAGGATGTGATACTAGGCAAAGCCTGCAGGCATCTCTGCCTACTTGTGAGCCACCATGAGAACAGAATTATTGCTCTATAAGGAACCATAATGATGCTAACTGCTCACCTCTGGGCAGAGAGCACCAGCAGTTGACTGACTCAGCACCATGGGTCCAAGCAACATGTCAATTTTCCCTGAGCAGACAATTCCTCTAGTTGGGTAACCAGATGGAATTCAAGCCTGAAGACATTTCATTCATTTTCATCCATGGTCCCAGGAGGTTGCCCTATAATATCTACTTTTTCTAACTTATTTAGGGATAAAATTTAATGATGAATTGTCTGATTGTCTGGTTGACTGGTTTGTGGTATTCTGGGGGTGGGGGATAAGGGCTTTTTGGGGTTTTGTTTTGCAATTTTTCCAGCTTCATCATCTGTATGAATGTGATTTACATGATGCTGAACTCTCAGGGCCCAGTCTCCCTCACTGGACTGCCCACAGCCGGGCTTCATTCCCTCCTTTCCTTCATGTCCTCTTCACTTCTCTCTGCTGTTGCTTTACATTCTAAATCTCAGGCTTCAGGAATTTCTCTGCAGTCTTCCATCAGGCCTGTAGTTAGGTTACGTTAGGGATAAAAACAATTGATAAAGATAAACAAGGATGGGATATAATAGAGAAAATTTAAAGTCCTGTTCATCGTTGGTTGTCTTATTACCTCTTTAAAAACTCAGGAACTGGGGGTGCCCAAGATGGCAGCATGAGTAGGGCAGCAGAAATCTCCCAAAACCATATGTATTTTGAAAATCCAGCAAAGACAACTATTCCTAAAAGAGAGACGAGAAGATACAGTACAACAGCCAGGCAACATCTACATCTACAAGAACTCAGCATCTCACGAAAAGGATAAGATGCAAAGCTGTGACCCAGCGGGACCTGAGCACTGCTCCCACCCCAGCTCACCAGCAGGAGGAAAAGAATCAGAGTGGGGAGGGAGTGGAAGCACAGGGCTGCTAAATAACCAGCCCTAGTAATCTGCACAGACACACATTGCATGGTGTACTGGATATTAGAGAAACAGAAAAGTAAAATCCAAGATGGAGACTGAGCGGGTCCCCACAGCCAGCTCCCCGAGACAAAAGAAAAGCGGGTGCTTTAAAAGTCTTAAAGGGACAAGGGTTTAACAGGTGGACAAAATTGCCCTGGCACACTCAGCCCAGCAGGCTGGAATCTTAAGGAACTTAAGGCACCCTAACCTCCTCAGTGGCAATGCAGCTCCTCTGAAGCCCCTCACAGTCATAAGCTACCTGCTGTTCATTCACCCCCACCCTCCACCCCTGGCAATGCAAACAAACCAGCTGACCCGCCACTGATGTGGACCACCCAGGAAGCAGCCCCGCCCACAGCAACCACACAAGAGTCCTCCCAGCGTGCAGGTAACTGGGCCAGACCCAGAGGCTGCTGCCTACACACAGCTGCCTGGCACAGGCAGAGGAAGGTGGCGCAAGGTCTGGAAGGCATGCAGGGGTGCTGTTCTCACAGGAGAACACATGCCACTCTGCGACCCCTGCCAGTGCCCTAGGCTATCCCGAGGGCCACCTGTGCACAGCAGCTCAGGGGATTAACCCAGAGACTGCTCCCTTTGTGCGGGTAACCGGCACAGGCAGTGGAGAAGGGCAAGGTGACCAGCAAGCAGGAAGGGACTTTGCTCTCCCAGCTGAAATATGCACCACTTTCCAGCAATCGCTTCTATCACCATGAAAAGGTAGAAGAACCTGGTCCAGTCCAAAATCACTCAACACCAGAGAGGGGGCCTGGTGAGATAGATATAACCAACCAATACTCCTGAAAAAGAATTCAAAATAAAAGTCATAAACATGCTGAAGGAGCTGCTGAGAAATATGCAAGAGCTAAGGGATGAAGTCAGGAGATAGATAACAGAAATTAAACAATCAATGGACTTAAGAGCAGACTGGATGAGGTGCAAGAGACTGGTAATGGAATAGAAATCAGAGAACAGGAATACAGAGAAACTGAGGCAGAGAGAGAAAAGGATCTTTAGGAACGAAAGAATATTAACAGAACTGTGTGCCCAATCCAAACAGAACAATATTTGTATTATAGGGGTACCAGAAGAGAGAAAAAGGGATAGAAAGTGTCTTTACAGAAAAAATTGCTGAAAACTTCCCCAAGCTGGGGAAGGAAATAGTCTCTCAGACCATGGAAGCCCACAGAACTCCCAACACAAGGGACCCAAGGAGGACAACACCAATAATAGGACGACATATAATAATTAAAATGGCAAAGGTCAAAGACAAGGACAGGGTATCAAAGGCAGCCAGAGAGAGAAAAAAGATCACCTACAAAGGAAAACCCATCAGGCTATCATCAGACTTCTTAACAGAAACCTTGCAGGCCAGAAGAGAATGGCATGATATATTTAATGCAATGAAACAGAAGGGCCTTGAACCAAGAATACTGTATCCAGCAAGATTATCATTTAAATTTGAAGGAGGGATTAAACAATTTCCAGATATGCAAAAGTTGAGGGAATTTGCCTCCCACAAACCACCACTACAGGGTATTTTAATGGAACTACTCTGGATGGAAGTACTCCTAAGGCTAAGTAGATGTCACCAGAGAAAATAAAATCACAGCAAAGAAAGTAAACAAACCAAATACTAACTAAAGGCAAAACATAAAATCAGCTATCCACAAAAGCAGTCAAGGGAAACAAAAGAGTACAGAATAAAACACCTAACATATAGTGGAGGAGGAAGACTAAGAAGGGAGAGAGATAAGAAACACTGTGTTTATAATAGTGTAATAAGTGAGTTAAAGTTAGACGGTTAGATAGTAAAGAAGTTACCCTTGAACCTTTGGTAACCACAAATCCAAAGCCTGCAAATGCAATAAGTACATATCTATCAATAATCATCCTAAATGTAAATGGACTGAATGCACCAATCAAAAGACACAGAGTAACAAAATGGATAAAAAAAGTGAGACCCGTCTATATGCTGCTTACAAGAGACTCACCTCAGACCCAAAGACATACCCAGACTGCAAGTGAAGGGATGGAACAAGATATTTCATGCAAACAATAGGGAGAGAAAAGCAGGTGTTGCAGTACTTGTATCAGACAAAATAGACTTCAAAACAAAGAAAGCAACAAGAGATAAAGAAGGACATTACATAATGATACAGGGTTCAGTCCAACAAGAGGATATAACCATTATAAATATCTATGCACCCAATACAGGTTCACTTACATATGTGAAACAAATACTAACACAACTAAAGGAGGAAACAGAATGCAAAGCATTCATTTTAGGAGACTTCAACACACCACTCACTCCAAAGGACAGATCAACCACACAGAAAATAAGTAAGGACACAGGCACTGAACAACACATTAGAATAGATGGACCTAACAGACATCTACAGAACTCTACACCCAAAAGCAGCAGGATACAGATTCTTCTCTAGGGCACATGGAACATTTTCCAGAATGGACCATATATAGGCCACAAAAAGAGCCTCAGTAAATTCAGAGAGATTGAAATTGTACCAACCAACTTCTCAGATCACAAGGGTATAAAACTAGAAATAAATTGTACAAAGAAAACAAAAAGGCTCACAAACACAGAGGCTTAACAACATGCTCCTAAATAATCAATGGATCAATGACCAACTTAAAACAGACATCAAGCAATATATGGAGAAAAAAACAGCACAATGCCCCAACTTTTGTGGGACACAGCAAAGGCAGTGCTAAAAGGAAAGTATAGCAATCCAGGCCTATTTAAAGAAGGAAGAACAATCCCAAATGCACAGTCTAAAGTCACAATTATTGAAATGAGAAAGAACAAATGAGGCCCAAAGTCAGCAGAAGGAGGTACATAATAAAGATCAGAGAAGAAATAAATAAAATTGAGAAGAATAAAGCAATAGAAAAAAAAATCAATGAAACCAAGAGCTGGTTCTTTCAGAAAATAAACAAAATAGATAAACTCCTTCCAGACTTAAGAGAAAAAGAGAATCTGTACACACCAACAGAATCAGAAATGAGAAAAATCACGATGAACACCACAGAAATACTAAGAATTAGAGAATACTATGAAAATCTATGTGCTAACAACCTGAATAACCTAGAAGAAATGGACAACTTCCTAGAAATATACAACCTTCCAAGACCGACCACGGAAGAAACAAAATCTAAACAGACCAATTACCAGCAAAGAAATTGAATCGGTAATCAAAAACTTACCCAAGAACAAAACTTCTGGGCCAAATGGATTCACTGCTGAATTTTATCAGACATTTAGAGAAGACATAATGCCCATTCTCCTAAAAGTTTTCCAAAAAATAGAAGAGGAAGTAATACTCCCAAACTCATTCTATGAAGCCGACATCACCCTAATACCAAAACCAGGCAAACACCCCACCAAAAAAGAAAACTACAGACCAATATCCCTGATGAATGTAGATGCAAAAATACTCAACAAAATATTAGCAAACCGAATTCAAAAATAGATCAAAAGGATCAAACACCATGACCAAGTGGGATTCATCTCAGGGATGGAAGGATAGTACAATATTCAAAAACCCATCAACATCATCGACCACATCAACAAAAAGAAGGACAAAAACCACATGATCATCTCCATAGAGGCTGAAAACGCATTTGACAGAATTCAACATCCATTCATGATAAAAACTCTCAACAAAATGGGTATAGAGGGCAAATACCTCAACATAATAAAGGCCATAACAAACCCACAGCCAACATCATACTTAACAGTGAGAAGCTGAAAGCTTTTCACCTAAGATCGGGAACAAGACAGGGATATCCACTCATAGTGGATTTTCAACATAGTACTGGAGGTCCTAGCCATGGCAATCAGACAAAACAAAGAAATAAAGGGCATCAAGATTGGTAAGGAAGAGTCAAACTGTCACTGTTTGCAGATGACATGATATTGTACATAAAAAACCCTGAAGACTCCACTCCAAAACTACTAGAACTAATATCTGAATTCAGCAAAGTTGCAGGATATAAAATTAATACACAGAAATCTGTTGCATTCCTATACACTAATGATGAACTAGCAGAAAGAGAAATAAGGAAAACAATTCCATTCACAATTGCATCAAAAAGAATAAAATACCTAGGAGTAAACCTAACCAAGGAAGTGAAAGACCTATACCCTGAAAACTACAAGACACTCTTAAGAGAAATTAAAGAGGACACTTCCTCTTGGCTAGGAAGAATTAATATTGCCAAAATGGCCATCCTGCCTAAAGCAATCAACAGATTCAATGCAATCCCTATGAAGATACCA